AATGCCACGCGACTGAAACAGAAAACCCAACATCAGCACCGCGCGAACAACGTCCACGTCATCACATGTCAATAGTCTTCTGTTTGCCGCGTGTGTTTGTTGCCAGGAGTACAGTGTTGTCAGCGCAATGGATTCTATCCAAACTAGCACCTGCTTTTTCTAGCTCTTAGAGATCGTTCATCTCATTGACAGGTTACATCATGGTTTATGACTATCACCAAAACAAATACACTCCCGGCGTTTAACATGGAACCAGGGCCAGGGGAGGCAATGGGGAACATGGAAGTGCGTCATGGTTGGCCACGCTGGGGAATGCAAGAGAAAAGCTGGATATATCAAACATAGACATTTCAAGAAGTGCGACGCACTTCTGCGTAATCCAGTTTTTACTTGGTCCTAGCTTCACCTGTGGATATCTTCCATGTTTATTAGACAGGGTTTTACTGGGGAACATACTGGGAATTCCCTACTGCAAGCTGCAAGTCTTTCCTTTTTCTCTCCCACCTTTTGCTTCACATGTGCGAGTGCTCTGATTGGAGCTTTTCAATCCAATCCAAGCCCTCACCTGTTTTGTGGAAATGGCAACCTTGAGCCCACATCATCTGACGCCGCCATACTGAATTCCTGTATGAAAGTTTGTTTCTTTGGGGGGGTAGCATAGAGAAGTGTTGTTTATATACATTAGTACGCACCTTTTCTTGATTCACAAAAGGGCTGCGCAGTGGTCTTGTGATGCAAACTATGCCATGTACAATGGTCATGATTCACATGGAAAATGGCTCGCGCTCCTTCTTGGCACTGTGAAACTCTAAGATGCTCCTTTGAGCTCACTTTGCCACCATAGTCATTTCTGTTCCATTCAATTCTTGTTCCTTTGCCGGCTTAATCATCTCTCTCAGCAACTGGGTTCCCAGAGATTGGCGTTACACCTGTTTGTGGTTTGGCTGGAAAAATTCTCCTCATGATTGCACATGCGAACAACTCGTGATATTCTTCAATTTCTTCCTCCACTATATCTGCTGCCTCATTCAACCCCCTGCTCATGAGGTTCCAATGTCTTTCATTGAGTTGATCAAGTTTTGCTCCAAGTCGACCACACATTTGGCTTGCTAGATCTGCAATGTATTGTTCTCTCATTGATATCTCCCTGTTTCCTGTTCTGAACATTCTGTTCGATGGTCCCTCTGATGGTGTTGCTCCATCTGTAGCTGCCTGCAACATTGCCCATATTGTCCTTCTGTTGCTTGCATATCTTCCAAGCTCCTTCTGGCTAAAAGTTTCCTGCGTTCAACTCTCCCAGCAGATCATAACTGATGATTGTTTGAAGGTCTGGCACTTCATGTTCAACAAAGCCTCCAGTGAGAACCAACCCACAATGAAATCTCCTGGCGTAGTTGTGTAGAATATAGTAGAATATAGATTCGCTCTTCAAGTTCTTCTTCTCTCCAAATTCCAACCCTTTCTTCAACTTCTTCAATTTTCTTCTCAACTCCCCTGATTAGATTCTCCATGTAGTCAAGTTTGAAGCGGCTTGAGTCGACTACACTGGAGTAGCTGATCTCAAAGTGTTTGTAGATCTTGAAGAGTACAAAGATCGCTGCTGCAAAACCAATGATGTTGCACGCAATGATCATGACCAGAATTTCCACTCCTCATTGGATTTCTTCACTGGATGTTGTCTCCCTTCAAGAATGCTTCTGAAACCATTGGCTGCAAGCCCTCCAATGCCACCATTCTCACAAGCATCTTGGCAATCTTGTTGACCTTTCCTGCGCAGGTTCTTTTTCTCTTCATACACCTTTCTCGCGTGCTCTCCTACTCTGGTTTGGTGTTCACTTTGCCAATACCCAACGAGGTTCATCAAGTATCTGATTCTTTGTCCTCCAAGTGGCTTTGTGTTGAGGTCTGCCATATTGCTATTTGTTGGTACTTGTACTATCTTGAAGTCTTTCCTGTTTTGAATCCATAGCAACTTTCCATAAAAGTGTCTCACAAGTTGGCGTGCGCTCGATGAATCTGTGAAAAATGTAATGGTCCACCTTTGTCCCAAGAGCAAATTCAAGAACTGCGCGAATAGATTGCATCTGATGCTGAGGAACTATAGCATGTAGTTCTGCTTCGCATGAAGATAAGCTAATGATCTTCTGTGTCCTGCTGCTGTTGAACAATGGGCAACTTTTCAATGCATGGAACCCTCCTGATGTTGACTTTCTGTGGCTTTTGTTTCCACCCCAGTCTGAATCTGAGAATGTCTCCAAGCACCAATAGCTTTCTCCTTTCTTGACATAACCTTCTCCTGCTTGTGGAAATTAAAGTACTAGACAATAGTCCACAGTTATGTCTTCTTCATGTATCCTAAGAACTTCTTCAAGCGATAAAATGACATAGCTGTAGCATTTGACATTCTTGAAGCCAATTCCTTCACTGTAAATGCTACATCGTACCTCTCTTGACATAGGTAGACACCTGATCCAGTAATGCTTCTGAAAAGGTGGATCTTCTCTTGCTCTTGAAAGACATCTGACTTGTCTTCCATCTGGATTGAGTCGTCTGATGGTAGTTGCTGGAGCTCGATCAGTCCAATCTGCTCTTCATAGGCTTTCCGCGGCTGCTGGATGTAGTTACCTGGTTGGATCCATAGTCCACCAACTACTAGTTCGTACTTTCTCCTCAGCGAATTGAACTCATCACCAGCTCTCTATGTCAAATTTGTCATTTGGATTTTTATGATTTTTCTTCAAGTCCTTCATATAGCCAGTCAAAGATATTGGGCTTTGCTATCAGCTTTGACCAACTTTGTTGATGACTTCTTGTCTTCAGCTGCTTTCTTCACTGCCTCAGCTGCTGATGTTGTTGCCAGCGTACTCTGTGCTATAGTTTGACGGACTTCTCTGATCTCCTCCATCTCTCCTGTGTACCAACGTCTCTAGGACACAATGTACAGGCACAGAGTGTTGCTCACAACAATTCTTCACCAGTCCAGCTGTTTGGGTTCCAAAGGCCCCAAATCTATGGCTCGAAATCGCACCCGGGATCCCAGTGACCTAGGAGCTTTTCTCTGGAGCTCAAAGGGGTTACCCTTGTCCTTGCTCCGGTACCATACGCACCTTTTCTTGATTCACAAAAGGGCTGCGCAGTGATCTTGTGATGCAAATTATGCTATGTACAATGGTCATGATTTACATACATTATGATATTCAAACCTATTTGTAGAATATGTGTTCACTCTTCTATTTGAATTCCTCTCGTCTTTGAGCCATACTATTAAACATGGAAGCGCGTCATGGTAATCCTAATCTTGTCATGCTTCAGCACAGGTTTACTTCTATGTTTATTACCGTCACACTTTTTAACATACATAGAAGTGGAACAAACATCCCAGCAATTCTTGAGTTCCATGTTTAATACATCTAGAATAATCTAGAGTAAATATGGCGATAGAGGGCATCCTTGTCCTGTTCCCGACCGTTGCTGCTTTGTCGATGATCTTCCAAATTTGTCCTCCACTAAAAAGCAGGGTTGTGGTACCAATTCTTGATGACCTCGACCGCAACGTAATGTTCGTGAACTTCGGTGTAAAGCTAAATACAGTTTGCCATATTGTACTTTATCAAACGCCTTTTCCCAATCTGTGAAGGCATGAGAGGATTGGAACCCTGTTGCTCAGCAATGCCTTGCATACGTGTTGCTAAGAACAGTGCGCGTGATGTGCTTGTAGATAGTCTAAACCCATGCTCTGAAACACATATAGCCGCTTACAAGCACGCCAGCATCGTTGGCACGGCACCGAAGTTGTGCTGAAGGTGGAGACATGAAGGAGATGAACTTCATAAAAAGACAGCAGCCGAATTGACAGCGGCTGCCGGGCAAAGGGATTCTCCATGTTTCTTCACATCCAATCAAGTTCTCTTTTTTGCATTGCCAATCTCACAGGAACATTTACACAGAGCAAGACGCATGGGTGTCTCTACTCTGGAACGAACAAAACAGTCTTTATGCGCAATGGTCCCCTCATGCCGCCTCATTCATATGTTCTAGGAATGTATACTTTAAACATAGTGTGATTCCACCTGAATATGTGATTCCACCTGCGTTGACCCTCAGCCACATACGCAGGGCAAACCTCCCCAAGAAGCAACACGCTGGTCAGGTACAAACATAATCTGCAAATCAGAACTGAACATCTTCCGGAGAAGCCCTTTGACATGCAGTGTCAGCTCTGGAATTGAGACATGGCAGCTGCATCTTAAAAACATGTTGGCACTCAGCGGGATCCTTTGCATCCATCCATCAGCTTTCTCAACACATGTAACCAGCACATACCTGCATGTTGGCTGGAGTCAGTGCGGCACTGTAGACTAATCTGCAACCGTGGTGTCAGAAAGCTGAAGCTGAAAGCAAAGTGCAAGAGGCCTTGAGTGGAGAACCAACTTTCGCTCCAACCCACAGCAAATGCAGTAGAGCTCAGCAAGTTTCTGTGCTCACTGCTTCGACTACTATGGAGCTCCAACACTTCTTTCGCAACTGCGCATGATCACTCAACTGGCACAACACATCCATTTCTTGGAAGATGGAAGCTCCTGTGAGATATGGACAGCACCAAAGAAGCCTTAAGACCTGACTCTGAGCACATTCAAAGTCAGCAAACAAACCAGGCATGGGTCTCTTCTGGGTGCTTGTGAGATGTTCACGATTGCATCCGCCGAAATGCTCTGGGCTTAGCCCTGAGCTTGCTTAGAATTGTCAAGGATATGGATTTGGTCGGATTTGCCAGCTTGATACTAGACTCCAAAGCACCCGCGAGGGGTGATGCTTTGAAGCAAGGGAATCGAAAAAGTCAACGTCAACCAAAGCATCTAAACAACGGAAGGCCTGCGAATCGGTCTTAAGTGTCTTGTAGGGCTTGCTGGCCTCGACTACTGGAAATCAAGCTGAAATAGCCTTTCCTCTTTAGGTTAGGCATTCCCATCAAAGCATTTCGTGACACAAGTGCTCTTAGCTCACGATTGCTGAAGGCCTTGCAGGAAAGATTGCCCCGACAAGTGTCGGTGCGATCAGGTTCCGACACGGTATGTATACGTAAGCATCGCGCACACACACACACACATTCTTGACAGTTGCTTTATTCAATGCAAACAACACATGAGGGATGGAACATGATGGAACGTCCTTTCCTCCGCGACGTCGAGTCGGAAGTCCAGCTGCAGGTAGGTGCAAAAGACCAAGCCTGGCAGGGTTGGCCTTTCGCGTCCAGTGTTAGGCATTGCTTTCGAAGTTAAGTTTTTGGAGCCAAATTGCCAAGAGTGGTTTTGATATTTTTGATTTCAAGAACAAATGAGCAAAACAGTGCGTTTTACTTTTCTGATATCTGATATCTTTTCGTTTTTGTTGTTGTGCTGCCCTCAAGCGTCCAAAGTTCAAACCCTCCAAGTTTAGGCCTCTCAGCTCGTGTGCTCCTCAGTGGCTCCAACCGCCTGGCGCGGGCCTTCACCGGGGCAGTGTCCAACGAAGGCCTGCAGCCAATCAGTCTCGCCGATTTCTTCCGCCCAGTCAGAATGTGAAACAAAGAACAAAAAGAGAAAACCATAGAACAACCTGCAACGGATTCAAAAACATCATCATGTGACCTAATTTCATATCGTTTCTATATGTAAGTCTACACCCTGGCATAGTTGCCACAAGTGCTCTCTTCTCTCTCGTTCTTGCCTGGGAAGGGTCGGGTTTGGAAGCAACGTCCGGTTCTTTGAGCTTGGCCGCGGAGAGGCTCTCATTGGATCACCATGGTCCAAATGCATCACTACCTTGTCAAAGCTCAAATGATGAAACTACTTCCAAAGCGAGAATTTACAAGGCCATTCTTCTTGGTTTATTCTCCATTCACCCTGTTTGACAACGCAAGAAACAAAGAAACCCTGGAAGGATGCACCATGCAGGCCCAGGTACCGCAGTTATGTCATCTGACAGTTGGCCTTGGCTCAGCTGCAGCTTAAGATCAACTGTTGCTTGCCCTTACAAGATCCCTTTTTGCACACAACAGTCTACAGTGTCTACAGTCGTTGCCATCAGCATACAATCCAAAATCCTAACATCCAAAGCCAGGTAAAAAGCAACGGGCCATGGCAGGCATCATCTATCATCATCTACTGCGGCTTGGAGCTGTGAAGCTCAGCTCGGAAGACACTCCCAAAATCAGAAGCACGAAGAGTGTATGGTAACAACTCTGGACAAACATCGAGATGTGGGAAGTGGGAAGGTGAGTGTGAGCTCAGAAAGAACATAGTAAGATATCCTCAAACAAAGAGGTGCACATCAAAGAAACTACGCATTTTCCAGAACAGGAACTTGGGAAGGAGTTATACTGCTTTGCAACTTTGTCGGCTCAGTTGAGTGAGTAGAGCACTCTTTGGAGAACTTAACGGTACTCTCCAAACCAAGAAATGCATGACATCAATCTTGATTTGTATGTAGCTTCCTCAGAGATTCTTGAATTGCGTTGACTTGAGGCCCTTGCTGGCACTGGTCACACCAATCTTGATCTTGTAGATTCTTGCTTTGCCCACATTGACGCTAGAACAATCTAGAAGCTAAAACTCCTCCCTCCTAACCTCCACACCACACTCCTGCTCCAGCACTCCGGGCTCTCTAGCCTCTTACTTAATCTTGCTGATGCTGTCACACCCTACTTTCTCGGGTACACAGACACTGTGCCTGTAAATTTGTATTCCTAGAGCTAACTCAAAACGACCAAGGCAAAATTTGTTTGGCACCAGGAAGTTTGAAATGTGTGTATGGGTTCATGAATGCCGGATCTTTGTCGCTGGGTATGTGTGTGTGGCACGCATATCTTCAGAAACACACTTTCATGAAAAAATACAGTAGTATTGCTGCCCGGTTGGTACACAGCTAGCCAGCTAGCTCTCGTACAGCCAAAGTTTATCTTCAGTCATATGCACCAATAGACACTAACTGCGCTTGGCTTGCGGCCTTGCGGCCTTGTGTTTCCACGTGCCATCGCTGCCGAGCAATGCTGGCAACTTCCCGAGCAGCTGCATTGGGATCAGTGTGCTTGGCAGCGATGTCCACTGCCTCTTTCGTGCGATTGTCTGTGAATACCTTTAAAGTGTATAAATATTACTGTAAGAGCCTCAGCGGTGGTATAGACCGCAACTTAACTCACATATAATTGGATAATTGTAATTCACCACACATAATGATGAAACAAATGTTTTTGAACAAACGCATTATTTAATGATGACATAGTGGTTGGCCCTTGTATTTTTATACCCTGTATTGTTTACTGCGAGCCCTTTTCTCAGCTTGGATGGCTCTGATTGGAACCTGGCTTCTCAGACCCAGCCCTCAGTGAAAACAGCAACGTTGCAACGCGCTTGCGTATCTGCAAACATCATAATACTTTGACTTTACCACTTCTAACTCCCCTGAACTATGATATTCAACAATTCAACAATGGTAAATCTGCTTTTCTACAATATCTCATGACATGTGTGCAATTCCTGTCCACGCCTCTTGTGAAATCATTCGATCCCAAACACCATCGCTTCCAAGGATGAGCACTTTGTCCTTTGAGCACAAGGTCCTCTCCGAGACCTCCAAACAAGTCTCGCGGGTCTCACGATGTCACAATGACAAAGCGACAGCACGTGCTGTCGGCCATCCAAGGCCATGCAAGTCCGTGGCCGTGGCCATCCAAAGCCCTGCCTCTGGTTGTGCTATAACGAAAGGGTGCATGGAAAGGTCTCCTGCCAGTTCAGTGATACGTCTTCGAATGATTGCAGTCAACTATGAGCAGCTCGACATGCACGTGTAACATTATTGGAACATCAACTTGAGATAACTAGAGTAAATACTGGCATCCGTTTCACTTCTCTCTGCTTGGCTGATTATCACTAAACAACTGTCTCATTCTTGTTCCTTGCTCTCCAAGAAGTCTGTCTGCAAACTTCTGAAAGACTTCTTGGAAGGAGGGGCTGCACATTTCATCTACAACTCTCCTACACATCACTTCTTGGGCACATGCTGCAGGCCCGGGGAGACCTCGCCGGCCTCCGGCCTTGTCTCGCTCTTCCCGATTGGCCTGACCAAAGGGGCAACCAAACAGGCCATCCCGAAAAAAGCATTCGGCCAGGACAAGGTGGCCAGCTGGTGCCAATGGCACTTCAATCTGCGTTTCGCCGAGGGCAAGTTCCAAGTAGGCCTCCGGCACGATTCCCAAGGTTACAGCACAAACCAGACCTGCCATACCACGAATCTGATGATATAGGAAGTCTCTGCCGGTGATCCGAAGCACTGCAAAGGCCTTGCCACGCAGAAAGTCCTTGAAACCAGTTGTCACGCCTGATCTGCAGCGATATACGCTACGAATACTTTTTGGGTCCAACGCATCAGCAAAGCCTGGACTAAAGTTATGGAATGATCTTGTGCCGGTTAATCTCTTGAGCGAGGAGCGCAAACGCTTGTGTACCTCTTGCAGTATCTGCATTATGGATTCAGGCAAGGCCAGCAAAGGACTTCTATAGCCAGTTTTGTCCACTGGACCCTCTGTACCATCCAAGTTCCAACAAAGGCACAAGGCCGACCGGGCATCTTCAAAAGAAAGCATTGCGGAACAGTCTTTCCGCGAAAACTGCACATCAAGCAGCCGCCCTTTTGGCAAATCCTCCTTGCTCCGCAGAGTTTCCACCAAGTCGAAAAGCTGATCGTTGTTTGCTGATTCAGGCAACCCTGATACCCAAACACGGCATGCACAAGGATGATTTGAAGACGTGCCTTCGGCTTTTAACTTGGCCATCATCGTTTGTTCCTTTGGGTGAAGTAAATGCTGATAAGGTATATAATACCAATATTCACGCTTTTGGCAAGCGAAGCGGGCATTGAATTGAGCGTCCAGCACATCAAATGCTTGAACCAATCTAATGTCAGGCGGGAGGTGTTGACCGACAATTTCAGAGAAGGCCTCCTGCTGTGAAGATTTCAAGTCACCCTCACTTTGTTGGGTGATGCGTAGGCACACGGCGCTGGCCAATGCATGAACACCTTTGTCGGTTCTAGATGCGCGGGAGCACACCTCTACTTGGCATGAAAAAACATTGTGTTGTGCCATCTCTGCGCGCCGGATAGCCTCCAGCAACGCCCCTTCTACTGTCGGAAAACGTGACTCGTCTGCGTTTAACTGGCTCCCGTGAAAGCGTGTTCCCACGTAGCCGTAAAGCAACAAGAGCCGCCGGCTGCGCTTTCGCTTTCCACCGCAGCCGTCGTGGTGCAAGTGTCGGAAAAGCGCATTTCGAGAAGAGAAATGGCTTCCACAATTAGAACCTTGCTTGCCCAAAGAAGTCGGGAAATCAACAATTAGTAATTAGGCAAATTTGCTGGCTACTACTATATAAGTAATATTAGTAACGAAAACGAGGAAACAACATCCTTACCAAGTCTGTGTTGGCCAACTGAGGAGCAGCGTCCAGCAAGCTGTGCTCTCTGCGATAGTGGCTTGTACAGCTCATCTAGATCAGCCATGCCACAGTGCTTGAAGTGTTGCAAAAGCAGCACATGCATAGGCCAAAGGCAAATGAAATATGATGCAAGTAGATCACAAAGGCATAGTCTCTGTGATGCAGAATTGTGTTTCTCGAAAAGTGAGGCAAATCCAAGGATATTGGATGTGGATTCAACAAAACTCTCTGCAATCTTCAGGGCTGTGCCTACGTTTAAAGCCTCAAACAGCTTCAGAAAGGACACTGATATCAATCAGACTGGGGCACATCCAGCCTCACAACATGAATACAACTACTGTTACAAACTTCGGCCATTGTCGTAAACAGCTTACTCAACACATCTCAACAGTTTCCAAAACTCCTTGGTTGACTTAGCTGCTCTTACTCGATCCATGTCCCTTGCTGGTCCTAGTGACCGCGTCACGCACAGGCCACAACGGCCAGTCTTGTCCCAAACACGCTCTGGCCCAACTCGCACAAGTACAGGCGGTCCGAAGCCTGACAAGCACAAAGAGCTAAGTCAACTTGCTTCATCTTGCTTCGCTTTGCTTTGCTTGGACAACATCCGATCTGAATAACTACAACTTGACAGTGGAGAAACTAGTGGAATCTTCGTCGGATGAATGATGTGATGAGGTAGGTTGCCTTCTCTTGTGGCAACACACGGATTCTTTGATGATTCATGTCCTCGCACTCATTAGATGTATTAGTCCTTTGCAAGCAAAACATGTTGCGTCGTTGAAACCAGTCCTTGGCGCATTGGAATCGCACTCTGGTGGACCAGACCGCCCTGCATACAACATGGGAGCACTCTGTAAACAGGAGCACAGCAGCAGCTGACACCACAGCTTCATAGCGCAAACAAAGAAACGCACTTCTATGGTGTCTCAAAATGTTGTGCCTAAAGCACTACAGGATACTACAAATATTGTTACATTTATCGAAAGACCACGAGGCGTACGAAACACCAACCAAAGGACCCTGTCTGAGCTGCCAAAAAGGCTGCAACCTAGTGTTTGACTTGCCTGCTGCAGTATGCGAGTTCTTTCATCCTCCCGCATAGGCCGCTGGTCACTGGAGAGGTCCACTGCTCTCAAGCTGCGACCATCGCCCTGAAAACCAGACTGAACATGACTCAACCCCAGGACAGCTGAACAGGGTTGAAATCAAAATAGAACAAAGTTGAAATAACCCTAATGACATGACAGTGCTTGTTTGAGAAATTGTTTACCATGTTGTTCCACGAAAGGCAAGCGTCAGGCTATTCAACCGTTGAGTTGGCAGGGGGCGCTGGGGGCAAAGCAGTGCTGTTTACGTCTTCGAAGTGGGCGCCGGTGACCGAACGCGAGTGGCAAGACCCTGTTGAACGTTGGGTATCGAATAACGAGGACTGGAGGGTTACGTGGAGGGCTTCGAATCTCATTACTTTATATATTTTTTTATCGCCTTGTCCCCTAGCAGTGGTTTCACATCCAATTCAGTGTTGCCTTCCCGCTTCGAGCAGCACCTTTTCGGTGCCACCTTTCACCGTTCTGTGGTGTGCACCCCTTTGTGCCTTCCAACCCAGGGTCAGAACGGTCAACAAAGCTTTCAACGAAGGCCACATATATATAGGAATATACACATTATATGCTACCTCCCTGACAAGTCTACCTGTCTTGCCTGTTTTGTGAGCATTGGCGTGATTTTTAGACATGTTGAATATTGGATCAGGCACTACTTGGAATATATAAATTTTGTCACAGGAGCCGTTTGCAAACAGTTCTCACATTAACAATGTTTGTTTGTACTTTTGTCAGATACCGTTAAGGAGTATGGTACTTGGTGGCTGATGTTTTTTCGGAACTTGAAAACATCACAATACTTGCAATCCTTACTCTTAAAGTGTCTGCGTTTCAACATCTATACTTGTACTCTTCTGGCTCTTTTAAGTTCCCTTTTCCAACATCCCTGTAATAACATCAGCAAAGATGAATCTCAAACTGGTTCGATGGTTTTCCCAGTCAAGCGGCGCCTTTTGACAGCGTTCTTGAGCCAAGTGTCAAGTGAAAACCAAGTCTGCTATACATGTCACTCGCGAAGGGTTTCAACTCCCCCTCTGCTCCTGCGACGCCGGACATTGGAGGTAGCTTGAGAAGCCCTCGTCAAGTCCGTCTTGTCCGGAACTATATCGGGTGGAGTCCTCGTTGACTCACACTTCTGTTTCTCGTTTGTAGGCTGGTTGTGTGCTCTGTGTGCTTGCTGCTTATCCAGGCGCAAGTGCATGTTGTAGGTGTAGACCTTCATGTAGCTTCAGGCCGGTGCAAGGTGTTCTTCAGCTTGTAGTTTCCTACGCAGATTTCCAAGTTAACCAGGTGCCAGGTCCCACGGTCTGTGGCCTCAACGCAACCTCCACTGCCTTTGTAAACACGTCTGCCTTCTAGTACAGGTCGGACTCTACAAGAGACAACTCAACATCAGGACGGTCTAGCTGTTCCTTCACCGACGACGAGCTCACACGGTGTGTGCGCTTCAAGTGCCTCAACTTCTCAGAGTACCCTGCGGCAACCGCCCTCCTTGCGACGGAGTTGCGACCGCCGTGACACCCTCTCTCAACCTCTCTGAAAGCCAAGATGATAATGATGGAGCAAAGCCCGGTGGAGCCTAAGTCTATGGGTAGGTCTCTCAAGCTCAGCAAGTGACTGCGGGTGATAACCATGGTTTCAACTGCAGTTGAAACTCAAACTGATGGTTTTCCTAGTCAAGCGTGTGCGTGTCAACGTTCTCAGCTACCATCAGCAGTAGCACCTTTTGATAGAGTTCTTGAGCCAAATGTCAAGTGAAAAACGTGTCTGCTATACATGTCACGAAGGGCGTCAACTAACAATCATCTTTTTGGCCATTGTATAATCGCGCTGTTTATCTGAAATGTTGGTGTTGTTGTAAAGTTTTTGTATAGTTCTTTTGTGATCAACATCATACACACAAGAGGACTGTTTACAATACAAAGTTCAAGTTTAAACTTTATCCGCAAATTCTATTAAACGATGCTGTACGTTAATGGATCGGGTTTATTTCAGAAAGAAAAACAATCCATGCGTTTGTTTACTCTTTCCCCTAAACAGTAAGCGTAAGCCTCATCCTGGTCTATTTCCAAATGTACCTCCCTGTGATAAAAAATGTGAAACTATGAAATTTTCCAGCCGGTGTGATTGTTCTACACGAGTTTAGGATTTCAATATCAACTTCATTATGATACGATTTGTGTAAAGGATTGAACATTTGTTGGTTGAACATGAACATTCCTTTTGACATGTGGTTATAATCCGCCGACCCCTGCCTAGTTGACGTCTAGGTGCGGCGCCGGGGACACCGCAGGGTGAAACAATTGCCCAGGCCAAGCAGATCCAGAGTGTTTCGCCGTGGCGAAGCTGCCGTTTTTTGGAGAAGCAGATCCAGAGTGTGTCGAAGGTGTCGTTTCTAGGTGTGGCCATCGGCTGCATTCTGCCTTATAGGAACACCTCAGCTGCCAGGCAACTGGGCCAGGCAACTTGGCATCGAAAGCGACGTGCCAGGCGACTGTTTTATGGGCTCGCGAAGGCGACGTGCCAGGCGACGTGCCATGGCAACGTTAGGCATTTTGGCTGGCTGCGGCTCGCCCCTTTTTGGTGTGGAATTAGATGGTGGAAAGCTGTGGCGAAGGAAATTCCCGGGAGCCTTGAAAGTCTTTGGGGTCAACGTTCCTGGAAACGTTCCAGGCGACGTTAGGCAGTCGACGCTGCAGTTAGGCACCCTGTCCTCTGGAGTTACCATAAGGCACCTCAAAACCATCTGCGGCAGGCCTTCACAAGCCGCTTTCATTGCAAGGTTTCGAAACTGCTGTTAGGCACCCTGTCAGGACAATTTGTTGGTGATTTTTGGTGTGAAATTAGATGGTGGAAAGCGGTCAACGTTCCAGGAAACGTTCCAGGCGACGTTAGGCAGTCGACGCTGCTGTTAGGCACCCTGTCCGCTGGAGTTACCATAAGGCACTTCAAAACCATCTGCGGCGGGCCTTCGCAAGCCGCTTTCATTGGGTTTCGAAACGGCTGCTAGGCTGTCAGGACAATTTTTTGGTGATTTTTGGTGTGGAATTAGATGGTGGAAAGCTGTGGCAAGCAACTCCGCTCGGTACACCACAGTACATCCAAGTATGACTGGAAATAGTATGCCTGAAGGGACATCTGCCGTGTACTTGTGGAATTAGATGGTGGAAAGCCTGTCCGCACCAGCTCGCGACATCGTAACTCTGGCTAGTAACTCCGCTCGGCCCCAAACCCTCAGCGGCAGGCTTCGCTAGCTTTTTTCATTGGGTTTCGAACCTGCCCTTAGGCACCCTGTCAGGACAATATTTTGGTGGTTTTCGGCGCGCCATTACCTGTGGAAGGCTGTGGCAAGGCAGATTGCCGGGAGTCTTGGGAGGAAGTCTTTGGGGTCACGTTCGCGTGCTCGGCCCCAAGCCCTCTGCGGCGCAAGCCTTCACTAGCTCTTTTCATTGGGTCTCGACACTGCCCTTACGCACCCTGTCAGGACAATATTCACGTCGCTTCGCGACGGTAACCGCGCACCGCATGGGAGGGCTCAAAGACTGCAGTCCTGCTCCAGGAACGGGTCAAGGTAGGTACTTCCATTGAACATAGCCCCAGAAGTCACCCCCCCCCAACGTGGCCGAACATAGCTTCCATATTGCCTAACATAGCGCTAGAATGTGGGAACGTCGCAAATTGGTGTATCTTTTCCGTAGGTAGCTCGAGACGTTCGCTGGATATTTGGCTCAACAGGAGCAGAGATAAGGAACGGTAACATTTTCTAGGGCTCAAAAGGGACTGGAAGAAAGTAAAGATATTACCTAACATAGCTCTAAAAGTCACTATCTAAAGGACGTGTCTGCGAGATAGGGACGTGAACGTCGTAAACATAGCCCAACGAGGGCTCAAAAGGGACCGGAACAAAGACCCCCCCTGACGTGACCAAACATAGCCTTTTCCAGGAACGGTAAGATTTTCTCACAAGCATAGCTTGCTTAGATAGTGACTTCTAGGGCTATGTTAGGCAATATGGAAGCTATGTTGAGCCACGTGAAAATGCTACTGTTCCTGGACCTGATCTCTGCTTATCTTTGCTCCTCTCAAACCAAATATCCGGACATTCAAGTCCCTATCTCGCGGACACCAAATATCCGGACATTCAAGTCCCTATCTCGCGGACACGTCCTTTAGATAGTGACTTCTAAAGCTATGTTAGGCAATATGGAAGCTATGTTCGGTCACGTTGGGGGGCGGCTTTATTCCAGTCCCTTTTGAGCCCTCGTTGGGCCATGTTTACGACGTTCAAGTCCCTATCTCGCAGACACGTCCTTTAGATAGTGACTTCTAGGGCTATGTTAGGCAATCTCTTTACTTTATTCCAGCCCCTTTTGAGCCCTCGTTGGGCCATGTTTTGCGTTCAAGTCCCTATCTCGCAGACACGTCCGTTAGATAGTGACTTCTAGGGCTATGTTAGGCAATATGGAAGCTATGTTGAGCCACGTTAGGGGAGCCTGTTCAGCCAAATGTCCGGCCTCAGTCCAATTACACTTTACCGCGCAGATGATTCAAATCATGCAAAGGAAGAAAATGGCATTTCTTGCGTCACCAGGGGCTTCAAAATAGCACGAATTCATCTTCCAGCATTTTAAGCCGCTTCCAAAAACATGAAAAACACAGGATTCTAGAGCCAAAATGCCCCCCCCCTAGCTAAAGCTATTGGCTTGCTCATGCTAGCTTACGTATACCGCGCGCCCTATAAAAACGCCTTGGCACCTTCGGTGCGGGCGGATTTTGGTGGTCTTTTGCTGTGGAATTCGATGGAACAAGGCACCTGGGGCGTTCTCGGCGACGTCAGGCATTCTCGCTCGTCGCGGCTCGCTTCTACGTTAGTCGAGTTCTTGCTCCTCGTTTCTACATTAGGCTTTCATTGCAGGTCCTTCCTACATAAGGGGGTCGGCGGCGCGAGGGCGAAGCCCTTACAATCCGGGCGCCGGCCACGAAGCCCGTGCCCTGGCCGGAGGGCCTTCGGTGGTAACCGAAGGTTATAGACGCTGGCCCTGGCTGCC